AGATATTCGTTTCCCACAACATAACGATAAATTAAAAAGGAAACAATTCGAGATAATTAGGCCTGTGATAACCAAAAACTCGATTAAGAACGTTAGATATAAACGCTTGAAAAATACTTGTAGTGTAAGAGACGCGTTAGAATTTATCATTCGCAGCTAAGGTTTCTGTCATCCAGATTTTGAGATAAAGTTTTGAAATCGGTTTGATGACGTTAAAAAAAATGTTTAGGTGGTTTTTATCAAAAAATTTTACGAACACGGCAAAATTCACAAAATCTTTGTCGCCAATCGAAGTTTTGCTTTTTTTTGATTTGAGTATTTCAAAATTCTGGCCCTTTGGGAGGGAAATCACATTTATTTTCATATGCCAATTATCGATATGATTTTATAAAGTGTAAGTAATATTTATAACTTTCCATTTTAATCACTCGCTTTACTATTTTAAAAATTCTCATCATCTTTTACTGGTTCGATTTGATTTGATAACGTGATCTTCCAAATTTTTTTTTTTTTTTTTTGATTTTTGTACAGATTGTACGAAATGCCTCCTAAATCAAGGATATGGAAGAAGTTATAAAAAATACAAAAAAAAGTTCAAAGAAAAAACAACAAAATGAAAAAGAAGAAACAAATCAAAGTCAAGATACGATAACGAGCAAAGAACCCACGGAGGTAAAGTTTTAACGAATTCATTTAATTTTATAATCTGAAATTAATTATTTAAGAATTTTATAGACAAAAGATCCAGTTCCAACCCCTTTATTAGCACGAACGCAAGCCGAAAAACAATTTCGTGATTTTTATATGAATCGAATTACTAAAGCTTTTGGTGAAGATTTAGATAAATTGAGAAAGAAGGTAAGTAAATTTAATATGTATAGTTTATAACGCGCAAATAATTAATTATCATTTTAAAATTCAAACTTAATTTTAATTATATAGGAAGTAAATCTTGATTCCAATAAATTAGAGATTTTAATTAATACGTTAGAATCAGGAATAAGTATATTTTCGGATGTAGAAAAAGAATTAGCTTTATTATCTTCGAGTGGAAAATAATTTCAATTTTTCTTTATAATCTAATAAATTTTGCTTGGAAACATAGTTTTTAAATTTTTTCTCTTTTTCATTATAGTACGGCTTTCTATACTTGATTTATGATATAATTAAATTATTTTACAAGAAAAATAATTTATTAAAGAAATGTTCACTTGAAGTCTAAAATTAATTAGTTTTTTTTTTATTCGCCGTTAACTTTCCATTATCCTTATTAAAAATCCAAACGAAACAAAATAATAAGAATCCAACCCCCATAGAAGCTGCTCCGGTATAATATGGATATGCTGCAGATATAAATCTTGGGTATTCATTATGTTTAAAAGGTCTAATAGCCACTGTACTAGTATCAACTATATATGTATAACCGGGTCTCTTATAGTTCACTTTAAACGTAAATACTCCATATACATCTGGTAGTTGAATAAGCGACTCGTATTTACGAGCGTGATGTCCTTCTAATATTGGTAGTGCTGTAAGATTCTTTCGAATGTACGGGTCAAGCATAATTATTTCCAGTTGAATATCATCTCCATTGAATGCTTGCCATTGATCATTAACATACTCCGAGATCTCTATGTTGTATATCTTGTGAATTAAAAAAAAAATAAAGTTTCAGATTAAAAAGAAATAAATTGTTTAATGGAAAACATAAAAAAAATATACATAATCTCTTACAATATTATCTTTTATCCGATACATTTCTAATTGTTCATATTCGCCTTCTTTATGGTGAGATCGTGAAGTTGTACGTAAAATTCCTTTTTCTTGGAAGGTCCATTTTGTTAAATCATTGACCAATGCCTTGTTACCAGATTTGGAATGCCTTTAGTAATTATTATATTTTCGTTAGAAATTATAAATTTATGAGAAAAAAAAAATTGCATAATATGATATTTACGATTCGGCTGAATTGAATTGTTGTACTGGTGAGTCAAAAAATCTAAAAATCACTTTCAAATTAAAAATTTTTTTAAAAATAACAATAAAAATAAAGCTTAAATTTAATAATCTCACTGATCACTGAAAAATTCCAGACTTCCTACGAATGTAACTCTTGCATTATTTCTTGCTTGTAACGCTGATATAAGACCAACATCATTACCAATTGCTAGAGGTTCCTGTTCTAATAACTCAAAATCACTTGAATAGGCAGTATCGTTAGCCCACAGGATTTTTGTTAATAATGGTACTGTTCCCGCTTTATGCCCTATGCCTCGAAATAGTACGGGAACCCCTTCAATTACTTCTTTACTCAAGATTGCTTCATTATTAACAAAATTATTTGAAATTAAAAGTGTATGCTTTCCATTGTCAGAAACATCATAATTAAAATGATCGATCACGTAAGTATTTCGCTCGTCAAATTCAATGTCGAACTCTCGGGCGAAATTACGAATATTTTCTGATAATTCTGAAGATACCGCCAAGAGTATGTTGCCTCCATCATTTACGAAATTTACGAGAGAGATGGGAGTTATATTATCCTTTTTGTCTTTAGAGCACATTAGTTAAATAAACGATGGGTAATAATAATAATAAAAATAAGGATAAAAATGAAGATTGAATACCTTTAGTTTTTGGTGCAAAATAGATAATATGGTCGAAAGCACGCTCTCCATAGGAAAAATAACTCGACAGAATTTGACAATTTATTATAAGTAAGTTTGTAATCGCGTTCTAAATTCGAAAATAAAATTGAATCGAGTTTAAATATATGTTTTTTTTTTTTTTTCTTCAAAGAAAAAATTTGTAATATACACCTTCTAAAGAATGGAAAAACTGTGTGAATAAATTCTTGTCGTTCTCTTCATCTAGTAGAACCAACACGCGAAAACCAGTTGTGGACTTGGACTCTACAAAGAAGAATAAAGCCGCGAACGCGAAAGCAATAATGCCTAAAATTTGTCGCATTATAAATAACGATATAACTTTTTTTAAAAGTACAACTTTTTTTTTATATTGAATTAGATGGCATTTGGACGTGGATCAATTTGATTGGTATAAAAATTTAAACACTGCGTATTGGACTTCCATTTCAGGTTTAGCAACATCGATTTTTAAATTACTTATCGTTATGAGAGTGTTGACCATTACGAACCATATGATTTACTATATCTCATAACTTGCTTGATTTTACTGGAAACTTTCGCTTCGCTTCGGATCTGGGCTTCTTTATATTATTAATTTTAAATGAATTTAAATTTTAATGGTATTCTGGAATTAAAATTTAGACAAGAACACGTGATTATACAGATTATTGTATAATAAAGGTCTAAATCTCACTTGGAATAAAAAGTTTTTGTAACATTATCATTTTCGACGATTCATTGACAAAATTGTAAAATAATTCACTAATAATGAAAAGTATGTTTTTTCTCTCATTCCGCCCGGATGCATTCTTTTACTGCGATAACCTATCAAACCTATCCGATACACATCAAATTAATGATACAAAATTAAGACTGCCTGTAAATGGACTGGACTTTGTTTTTAATTGACTAGTTTTAGCATAGTTAAAATCAAAATTTTTACATATATTAATAAGGAGTGATTCAGTTAATATTATTATTGGAAATATCAAGCGTCATTTATTTCCAAGAGCACTAAAATACGTTATAATCATGAAGAATGAGTAACGATTTCATCGGACAATTCCAAAACCTTAGTGGTTGGTTATATGCATTCTAATAATTATGTTTTTAGTTAATTGAGTGATGATGAACTTATCATTATGAATTAAAAGTTGAACGTTTCAATATACAATATATATACACAATATAAAAAAAAAAGGTTGTTTGAATCCAAACTTTCATATTCAATTTTTTATTTCATTATTTGATACAATTGTTTATTATATATATTAGTATATTGGTTTGCCTCGCTAAAATTATTTTAATGATTTATTGCATAATATTTGATAAAATAATAAAATTTTGCAAACAGTTGTCATTCTTTGATACTTAACAAACAATTTGTTAAAGGCAAAAATCATTTCTTTTTTTATTCAATTATCGAACGTTTTGGACGTAATTATTCATTCGTATAGTATGTTCGTTCCAATTTTCCTGGAAGTTAGGATACATGCTGAAATAGGAAAAATATTTCAGCTGCGGAAATTCCTCGCGTTCGTTACCTTATATTTTAAAATTTTAAAAAAAAAGAATTAGATAAATCTAAGCAAGCCACTAAATAGATAAATAAACAAAAAAAGAGAAGGACGTTCTCGTTAGAGGCCACGAAGCGCTTCCAGTTCTCCCTCCATTTATTCACCTAAATAATGGGCAATTATAATAGAAAAACATTTGACCACAAAGGTAGAACTATTTCCTTAAACGCTGCCGATTAAAGTAGATAAACATTGACAATACAAATAGAGAAGGACGTTCTCGCACTTGGTTCGGAAGTAACTCGCTAGACATATCGATTTTTGTATTGCAAAGGAAGACATAACCAATTCCTTCTTAAGAATTAGTAGACCTTCACCAAAAACAAACATGCTAAACTGACTACCTACTAGAGCGGAGGCCACGAAGAGCTTCCGGTTCTCTACCATACTGTTTTCAATTTTACTAAGTGAACCAACAATGACGCAAGTCTAATAGACTAGTTCGTCCAATATAATTTCTTACCTAATGTAAACAGTCAGTCCATTTTTATCTTGGATTTTTGAAGTCGAAAGACATTTTAACTCGCTTCAAGTTTATAGGAGGGAAAAAACAAAACAATAAGTGTGAAAAAAAAATTTTGAAATACAAAAGGGAGTTTATAATTTTTCGAGTTACGCGTTTGACACGTATGAAAAAAAATAGTTTAGACAGCGATAGAAAGGATAGAAAGTTACTTTCTGTAAATACTTTTTATGTATTATTTTTCTACGTAACACGAAATTGGTAATAAACAAATCCACAAATTTCATTCGTCGACCAGGCTTTAGTTTTTACTATTTATTTCAGGAACTTAGAATTTTTATCGTCACATGCCGTCACATGGTCGTCATACGGGCAATTTCTTAATTTCTAAAATAATGTTAATGCTGGCTGTATCACGTGATCCATGTATAATACACCCGTATACTAATAGAAATTGCCTATTAATTAATGAGAAAACTTAACCTAGACCGGGGGGTTCAAGTTGCTTATCCTAGACCCCCAGGGTTCAGACTGGTTAATCTAGACT